AAAGATCCTCTCATTTAAGCCTAGATGGTCTCTAGGAAATATGATGGCAATGACCCACAGTTGTATCAGCAGAAGCAAAAATTAAGAAGGAGCTATTATGTAAGATGTCTGGGTGGGGTGTAGAGGGAACTCTTTCAAAATGTGTACATATATCAAATCATCACAATGTATACTTTAAATGTCCTGAAGTTTTTCAATTATGTCTCAGTAAAGCTGAAAAAAAAAAATCACTTGACGAGCCTCTGGTCTAATGGAGAGAATTCCTGTGACATACACAGGACATAAGACGCTCTTGAAATGTTTATACCCAGAGAAACACCACCAGTCTAATTATGAAAAAAGCAGCAGCAAATTCTAATAATGGGGTATCCTCCAGAGTACCTCACTAGTACTCCTCAAAACTGTCAAGGTCATCAGTATCAAGGAAGGTCTGTGAAACTGTTACAGTCAACCGAAGCCTAAAGAAGCATGAAGACAAAATGTAGCAGCATCCTAAATGGGATCCTGAAATAGAAAAAGAACATAGGTAAAAACTAAGGAAATCTGATAAATAATGGACTTGTTTATAATAATTTTTCAACCTTATTTATTAATTGCAAAAAATGTACCGTGCTCATGTAGGATGCTAATAATAGAAGAAAATATGTGTGGGTATATAGAAACCCTTTGTAATATCTTCTTATTTTTTTCGATGCATGTACAACTGTTTTAAAAAATAAAGTCTATGTTTAAATTTATAAAGGTATGTAAAGAAGAAAGAATACTATCTTCATTAAGTTGATGCAAATTTATATGTAGCAAAAACTCTCTTCATCATTTTTTTCACTCTTTTATTGAGAAAATTTACATAATGAAATTCACCATATTCATTCATCAGTTTTTAGTATGTTCACAATGTTGCACAACAATCATCACTATCTAATTCTCAAATGTTTTCATCACCCCAAAGAGAAATTCCATACACACTAAGCAGTCTCTCCCCAGTTCCTCCTTCTCCCCAGTCCCTGAAAATCACTAATACTTTTTGTCTCTGTGAATTAGCCTCATCTGGTATTTCATATAAATCGTATCATGCAATATGTGGCCTTTCATGCCTCACTCTCAGCGAGCATAACGTTTTCAAGGCTCGTCTATGTTGTAGCACGTGTAGGTACTAAATCCCTTCATTCTGCTTTGTAAATGGTTCTGGGTAATATATCCATAGCCCCTGAAAGGAAACACTTCAGATTTACAGTCCCCACAAAAATGAACCCGAAAGACATCAGTGAAGTATAGCCAACACTAGACAGGCAGTTTTTCAAATAGGATATTTTACTGTTTACTTTGGGTAGACTGAGAGAACCAGAGGTATGGATTTCTTTGACAGATGTAAGAGTTGTTAATGATTATTAGTGGTTTGGTTGGATAGATAGGGACTTGGAAGAAACATGAATGGAAGATTGGTGAGAAGGAACTCTTGGGAAGAGGTATGTGGATGGACCTCTGTGAATGGGCACAGGCTGTGAAGATATTTTTTTTTTCTTGTGAATTCCTACCCAAAGGCATATACTTTTGAGAATACTCAGAAGAATAAGTTAGACAAATGACTCACTCTGTGGATGTTAGTACCCTCTCCCCCAGTCATTCCAGTGTTTGTTCAACTGGCCCCATGAACAAAGAGGCCATGGCAATAAGGATAAATATAGATTTCAGCAATATGGACCTACTTTTACCAGGGTTGACATTGACAATGCTACTGCTGAGTGCCCAATCTACCAATAATGTAAGTCAACATTGAGTTTTCTATTCTTCAGGGAAGCCTGCCACTTGGAAGCAGGTTGATTACATTGGATCTTTGCCACGGGGAAGCAAGTAGAGCTATAACTTCACTGAAATAGAAATATATTCTGAATATGGATTTGTCTTCCAGGCTCATGATACTTTTCCTAGTACCACCATCTGTAGACATCAGAATACTTTAATCACTCTCATATGATTTTACACAGCATCGATTCTGATCAAGAAACTAATTTCCCAGCATGAGCTGCAATGGTCTTGTGGAGTTCATTGGTCTTACTACTTACTCTCTTACCCAGAATCAACTGGTCTAACACATAGATGGAATGTGTTACTGAAGATCCATTGGTGGTGGCAGGTGTGTGATGCCATCCTGAAATGATGCGATCTCACAAGACGTAGTATACACTTTGAGTTGGAGATGATCGTATGTGGTTGTGTTTCACCTCTAGCCAGAGAACATGGGTCCAAAGATCAACGGTAGGCAGGAGGTCCTCTCAACCCAATCACAGAATGTTTGCTTCCCATCCTGAAGACCGTGAGAACCTGTGGTCTAGAATCTTAGTTCCCAAGGAGAAGACGTTTCCACTACAGAACATAAGAATGCTTCCATTCACTTTGAAGAGAAGAATGTCATTTGGGGGATTCTCTTATCACTGAGAGGAGAGATTGAATTGATGTCAATTATTAAAGAGAAATTGGTTTGCTGCTACACAATAGGACAAAGAGGATCATGTCTGGAACTCAGGGAATTCACTAAAGTCCCTGTAAGAACTTTCATGACCTCTGGAAAATGACAACAGTGACAAGAAGTCAAACGACTGTGGACTCAGAACCTTCAGAAACAATGATTTGGTTCACTCTACTAGGTAAAGCACCACAACCACCTGAGCTTGAAAACAAAATTTGAAATGTAAAATAATCTTGGGAGAAGGAAATTATGGATACCTCTTCATGACCAATTATAGAAATGACATATAATATATACACCTTAAAAATTTACTGTAAAGTTAGCTTCCAACAAAATTGTATAGACTAATAAAGAATAAAAGAGAGAAATATATATATATTCTTTTTCTTTATATATATAAAATTTATATATATTTACAAAGATATATAAATTTTATATATATAAAGAAAAAGAAAAAAAAATATTTTTTAAAAATAAATCTGATGGGACTGTGAATGAATTTGAGAATTAATTCATATAACCCACAATGGGTACAAGGACTATTGGAACTGTGTCTCCTCATTTTGGAAAGAGAGACCAAGAGCTTCCTTACCTGTATGAAGTATGGCTGCATCTTGTTAGGTAGATATATAGAGTCGTTTTATTCACCCTCCCTTAGTCCTGGCACAGGAACAAGCTGCTGTCGTTCTTTGAGTTTATGTTTGCTTTTTGGCAGTTAACCACTTTTAACTAGTTAACAGATCTTTACATTATATTTTTTCCCTGTTCAACTTGCTTATGAGTCAAATAACAAAATATAAAACAACCATTAGCCACACTTATTAACATGCATGTAGCTTAACCACTGACTATTATTTCAGTATACCTACTTTAATTACCAATACATAAACAATTAATTGAGTAATATAATTCTAAATTATTTAGGGTGATACATTATAATACATTTGTTTTCAGGGAAATCACTGTAAATTCATGTAACTTTTTGTGGACAATGCAAAATTCTGGCTGTACTCCTCTTGCTTTCTTTTTTAATTTTTTTTTATTGATATTAGAGAGAGAGAGAGAGAGAGAGAGAGAGAGAGGAAGGGAGAGGAAGATAGAAACATTGATGAGAGAGAACATCGATTGGCCCTCTCCTGCATGCCCCCCACTGGGGATCAGGCCCACAATCTGGGCATGTGCCCTGACCAGGAATTGAACTGACTACCGCTTGGTGCATGGGTCAGTGCTCAACCCACTGAGCCACACTGGCCGGATCCTCTTGCTTTCTATATATATAACAATTTACCTGTTGTTACCAATATGAAATTATTGGTGGTGGAAATAATATGAAGAGATAAAATTGGATCATAGAAAAAATAGCATAATAGTGATAATAGATTATATTATTTAGTTATTACAATGAGAGTTTCTTATAAAGCATTTTTTTCTAACTTACATTCCATTTTCTTCAATTTAAGATTTAGGGGTTAAAAAAAAACTTTGGAGAAAATAGCTACTTCTTAAAACTGAAGAAAATGTTAACTTTCTGGAGGAGGGTTAAAAGCTCTAACTGGCCCTGGCCGGTTAGGCTCAGAGGTTAGAGCATCGGCCCACGGACCAGAGAGCCCTAGGTTTGGTTCCCACTAAGGACATATACCTCGGTTGCAGTTTGTCCCCGGCCCCAGTTGGGGTCATGTGGGTGGCAGCCACTCGATGTGTCTCTCTCACATCGATGTTTATCTCTCTCTTCCCCCCTCTCTCCCTCCTGCTCTATCTGAAGAAAAATGCAAAAATGTCCTTGGGTAAGGATAAAAAATAATTAAATAAATAAATAATAAATAATTAAACCCTGTGGTGACCCTTTAAAAAAAAAGTTCTAACGGAAACATACCCACTGTGCATGGCTGGAGAAAGGGAAAGTTGTCTCCAGGAACCAAGAGAGATCAGTTTCATACACCACACAAACCTGTCTACAAATAACGGATATTATGTAATGACTGGAGAAGCAGGGTTACAAATATATAAAATACTGAAAAGGCAATCTGATGTTAGCGACTCAGGTAAAAATTGGGAATCAATATTTTTTAAATAGTAATATATTTTATAATATTCATGCAATTTCCATCCATTCAGCAGTTTATTTATTATTTTACTCATTTACTAATTTTTTATTAACATTTCCTATTTGACAGTCTGTGAAGAAAACAATGATGAAGCAAAATGTCACCTTTTTCACAAATAGTATAGCTAAGCAGGGGAAAAAACAAAAATTAAATGTGACCATAGAATTAAAACCACACACAGAAGTAACTTAGGATCACATGAAGGTACTATATGGTGTAATAGTATAACTTTTTTTGATGCTGGTCACACAGATTTAATCATTTTGTGAAAATTTACTGACCTAGACATTCATGATTGCTGCACTTCTCAATAAAAACTTTAAAACAAATAATAATAATAATAAAATAATTTGTTTGAGCCATTTAACAAAAACACAAGAGAACAAAGCCATTTTATTTACTTTTCAATAAATTTAAATCCTTGAGGGTTACAGCAGTACACGGATTCTGTGTCCAAAGGCCATAGCGGGAAAGTTGCTTCGGAATTTAGCACGAACCATGCCACTATTTCCATGAGCACAAGTTACCTTTCCCCAGATTACTCTGGTTTTGTTTGGTTTGCCACCAGGAGTCACTGTGTTGTTCTTTGCTTTGTATACATAAGTACATCTCTTGCCCAGATAAAATTTAGTTTGATGTCGAGCATAAACACCTTCAGTTTTAAGAAGAGCTGTGTGCTCCCTCTGGTTCCAGAGACCCCGTTTATAACCGGCAAAAATGGCCTTGGACCACAGTCTTCCAGACATATTTGTCCTTATAGAAGTTCTGTTCCCACCAAGCCCCCAAAGTTCAGCAGCAGGAAATCCACTGCAAAATATATATATATTGCTTTTGAAAGGATAAATACTCAGTTTTCTAGAAATTACTACTAATTTGAATAATTTCCTAAATATCAAAATTAAACAAGTGTTTTTAAATTTTTTTTTAGTTTAAGTTACTTGCTCAAGAATAGCTTCTCCTTTAAATCCTGTTCTTGATCACCAGTACATACAGATCACTAGTACATTTAGATCTTTCCATCTAAGAAAACTATAAAATAAATATCAAGATTTGTAAAAAAAATCTTCATCAGAGTTTAGCAATGGTTCTGCTGATGGAATACACACCTTTTGAAGAATGTATTAAAAATATTTGGAGAACAAAGTGTAGCCATTAAAAGGATCAGAATATTTTGAGTGCACTCTGTTTATGTATTAATACATAAAATTGTATTATACTCTGATTAAATGTGCGTATTAGGCTTCTTGGCTGCAAGTTAAAAAATATGATCTTCTGTAACCCAAGGAGAAAATCTTTCATTGGAAGATTATTGGATTTTTTAGCAAAACTGAAAAAAACAAACAAACAAAAAGAACTTGAAGAATGTCAACCAATGCTCACTAATGCCAATTCAAAGCCAATGGGAGTCCCCAATTTGGAGAGCAATGAATAAGGAAACTTTATTCAGTGCAAACAGCTCAACTGTGATATAGCATGGCCATGAAATAGCTCAGTAGTGTTACAACTCAATTAGGAAATAGCACAGCTGTGGAACAGCACACCTATGAGGCAGCTCAGGGGCGAGGTGCCTCTCTGGCTAGACAGCTCTGTTCTGCTCCACCTGCTTAGTTCTGCTCCACCTGCTCTGGTCTCCCAGGTCTGCCCAGGTTTCACTCTGTTCTGGCAAGACATCCTGGGTAATTCACAAGGAAACACAGTGTTCAGTGGAAAGGGATCATGCACCTCTGAACCAGAAGGGATCTGACTTTAAAGAGAGATGTGCACCACCCCTGCCACCAGCCTTTCCTGATTGCCCTATCCCCATGCAAATGAAGTCTCCAAATCCTTCCAGTTCAATTGATCCAAAAGTCACTGCCCTGAGTGGTCAGAATGGAGCCTGTGTGTGTGTGTGTGTGTGTGTGTGTGTGTGTGGTATGTGCCCCTAGAAGACCTCAGGCTGTCACTCAACCCCTGAGCCAAACTGGCCAGGGAGAAATAGAGCCATTTTGATTGGTCAGTGAAGTTGCTAATGAGGGCCACAATTATGCAGCTCTGATTGGATGGGGAAAGTCTTGGTCCTATTAGTTGAAATATAATTCCACTAATTCCTTTAAATAGCTGGTTCAGATGGCAGAAATGCAGTGCTGACTTCTCCCTGAAGCCTGGATTGCCTGACAGCCCCCTCTGTAGAAATGGCTGTTAGGCTCTGTTTTTATAGAAATTTGGGTGCAGTTTGCCAGTAGGAGCCCTTCTTTTCCAGAGTCCACAGGAGTTAAGTTCAGAAATTAGGTCAAGACCAAAAAAAAAAAAAAAAAAAAAAAAAGACTACTTACTGCAGAGGTCACGCTTAATGCCTTGTCACAGAAATAATTTGGTTAAAACATTCCTGCTTATTAAAGGTATCATATAGTGGGATCCTTGTTCATTTTGTTGATGGTTTCCTTTGCTGTGCAGAAGCTCTTTTATTTTAATGTAGTCACATTTGTTTATTTATTCTACTGTTTTTCTTGCCCAAGGCCATGTAGCAGTGAACATTCTGATACCTGACATATCTGAGATTTTGCTGCTTATGGTTCCTTCTAGGATTTTTGTTGTTGTTGTTGTTAAGAAGCATTTTTATTTTTTTATTAATTAATCTATTTATTTTTGTTACAGATTTTCTCCTTTTTCTCCCACTGATTCCCCTCTCCCCCTCCCTCCCTCCCTGCCCTGTCCCCAGCACTGTTGTCCATGTCCATTGTTCATGCATACATGCATATAACTTCTGTGGTTTATCTCTCCCCCACCACTCCCACTTCTGGGGATTGTCAATCTGTATCCCGCTTCCACGTCTCTGGGACTACCCCATTCCTCAGACTGTTATGTTCATTATATTCCACAAATAAGTGAGATCATATAATACTTGTCTTTCTCTGTGGCTTGTTTCACTTAGGATAATACTTTTCATGTCCCTCCATGTAGTCTCAAAGGATAAGAGATCTTTCTTTCTTACTGCTGCGTAGTACTCCATTGTGTATATGTACCATCACTTATTTACCCATTTGTTTACTGATGGACACTTGGGCTGTTTCCAGATCTTAGCTATTGTAAATAGTGCTGCTATGAACATGGGGGTACATATATTCTTCCTGATTGGTGTTTCAGGCTTCTTAGGGTATATTCCTAGAAGTGGGATCACTGGGTCAAATGGCAGTGCAATTTTTAATTTTTTGAGGTAACACCATATTGTTTTCCATAGTGGCTGCACCAGTCTGCATTCCCACCAGCAGTGTACTAGAGTCCCCTTCTTTCCACACCCTCACCAACACTTGTTGTTTGATGATTTGTTGATGGCGGCCATTCTGATAGGTGGGAGGTGATACCTCATTATTGTATTAACTTGCATTTCTCTGATGATTAGTGATGCTGAGCATTTCTTCATATGTCTCTTAGCCATTTATATGTCCTGTTTGGAGAGGTGTCTATTTAGTTCCTCTGCCCATTTTTTAATTGGGTTCTTTGTCTTCCTTTTGTTGAGTTGTATGAGCACTCTATATGTATTGGAAATTAACCCCTTATCTGATATATCATTGGCAATTATGCTCTCCCATACAGTGGGTAGCCTTTCCGTTTTGATGATTGTATCTTTCGCTGTGCAGAAGCTTTTGAGTTTGATGTAGTCCCATGTGTTCATTTTCTCCTTTGTTTCTATTGCTTAGGTGATGTATCAGTGAAAATTCTGCTGCATATGCTGTCTAAAATTTTGTTGCCTACAGTTTCTTCTAGGATTATATGGATTCATGAGTCACATTTAAGTCTTTTGTCCATTTTGAGTTTATTCTTTTATAGGGTGTAAGTTGATGTTTAGTTTCCTTTTTTCTGCATGTAGCTGAACAATTTTCCCAATACCATTTATTAAAGAGGATGTCTTTACACCACTGTAAGCTCTTGCCACCTTTGTCAAATATTAATTGAGCATATTGTCTTGGGTCCATTTCTGGGTTTTCTGTTCTGTTCCACTAGTCTATATGCCTGTTTTTGTGCCAGTACCAGACTCTTTTGATTACGGTGACTTTGTAGTATAACCTGAAATCTGGTAATGTGATCCCTTCAACTTTGTTCTTCTTTTTCAAGATTGCTGTGGCTATTCGAGGTGTTTTTTGGTTCCATATACACTTTTGAAGTACTTGTTTCAATTCTGTGAAGTATGCTGTTGGTATTTTGATGGGGATTGCATTGAAAGTATAGATTGCTTTGTGTAGTATAGACATTTTAATGCTGTTAATGCTTCCAATCCATGAACAGGGTATGTCCTTCCACTTTTTTATATCTTCCTCCATTTCTTTTTACAATAACCTGTAATTTTCTGAGAATAGGTCTTTTATTTCTTTGGTTAAGTTTATTCCTAGGTATATTAATTTTTTTGCCTCAATGGTAAATTGGATTTTTTTTACTTTCTCTTTCTGTGAGTTCATCATTGGTGTATAAGAATGCCGTCAATTTCTTGACATTAATTTTGTATCCTGCTACTTTGCCAAATTCATTTAAAAATTTTTGATGGAGTCCTTGGGGTTTTCTACGTATAGTATCATGTCATCTGCAAATAATGACATTTTCACTTCCTCCTTTCCAATTTGGATCCCTTTTATTTATTTATTTTTCTGTCTGATTGCTGTGGCTAAGACTTCTAGTACTATGTTAAATAAGAGTGGCGAAAGTGGGCATCCTTGCCTTGTTGCTGTTCTTCAGGGAAATGCTTTTAGTTTTTGCCTATTGAGTATGATGTTGGCTGTAGGTCTTTTATATATGGCCTTTATTATATCTAGATATGATCCCTCTATTCCCACATTGCTGAGCATTTTTATCAGAAGTGGATGCTGGATTTTGTCGAAGGCTTTTTTGGCATCTATTGATATGATCATGTGATTTTTATTCTTCATTTTATTTATGTGGTGTATCACGTTTATTGATTTGTGAAATTGTACAAGCCTTGCATCCCTGGGATGAATCCCACTTGGTCATGGTGGATAACTTTTTTGGTGTATTGCTGGATCCGATTTGCTAGTATTTTGTTCAGGATTTTGGCATCTATGTTCATCAGGAATATTGGCCTGTAGTTTTCTTTCTTTGTAGTGTCTTTTTCTGGTGTTGGAATTAGAATTATGCTGGCTTCATAAAACGAGTTTGGAAGTCATCCTTCTTCTTGAATTTTTGAAATAGTTTGAGGAGAATGGGTATTAGTTCTTCTTTGAATGTTTGGTAAAACTCCCCCGTGAAGCCATCCGGGCCTGGGCTTTTGTTTGCTGGGAGAGTCTCGATTACATCTTCAATTTCCTCTGTTGTTATTGGTCTGTTCAAGTTTTCTATCTCTTCCTGGTCCAGTTTTGGGAGACTATGTGTTTCTAGAAATGTGTCCATTTTGCTTAGATTGTCAAATTTGTTGCCATATAATTGTTCATAGTAGTTGTTAACGATCTTTTGTATTTCTGTGGTGTCAGTTATTACTTCTCCTCTTTCATTTCTGATTGTGTGTATTTGAGTACTCTCTCTTTGTTTCTTGGTGAGTCTAGCTAAGGGTCCATCAATCTTCTTTATCTTTTGGAAAACCAGCTCTTTGTTTTTTTGATCCTTTGAATTGTTTTTTGGACTCCATGTCGTTTATTTCTGCCCTGATCTTAACTATTTCCTTCCCTCTACTTGCTCTGGGGTTTTCTTTTTGTTTGCTCTTTAGTTCTTTAAGTTGTGAGGTTAGATAGTCTATTAGAGATTTTTCTTGTTTCATGAGGTAGGCCTGTAGTTCTA